CATGAGCTGTGTTTTGCGAATTGAGCTGCTCCGAGTTAAAGCAACTTTTCCCGGCTTCCCGACAAGGCGGTTACACCACAGCAATTAGGCCTGCGCCTTAACTTTTATCTCTTCTTTAAAAAAAGAAAAAGCACTGGGGAAAAAGCTGAAGGCCTGAGCTTTCAAGGATGATTTTAAAAACTACAGCTACAATGAAAATGTAGACATCTCCTTTAATATTCTAGCTGGGACTGAGCTTTATTGGTGGAAAAAAAAGAGAACCCAAAATGAATATCATGCAAAGCCACATGACAAAATACACGCTAGACTGCTGTCCTGCATCCAAACCAGGCATGTGCTGTTTTATTACAACAGCCACACATGTTTTGAATAAATCAAACAATATATCCTAAAACGAACATGTGTTTAAATTCATTTTAAAATACGCTGACATTTTGATTATTAAATCAGCCCTTGTTGCACTGATTGGTGCTCATTATAAAGATTCTATAAAGCAAATGTGCTTTTAGCATTTGCCTGCAAATGAGGAAGTTATTAAGATGAGTCCTAAAAAAAACATTAAAATATTTAAAAACAACACAAAGACATCTTCACCTGAGATGCCCAAACTAGGGATCGTGGGCCAAAGTTGGCCCTGGTAATCTTTGATTTGGCCCGCTATCCCATCTGAGAAAAACGAATGCTGGGTTTGCTTTAGAGATTGTCATTTAAAATTTAATGTAACCTTTGGTTTGCTTGTTTTATTGTTAAGCTACAAAATAAAACTGATATTAAACGTTTAATTCAATTTAAATACTGTAATTTAGATTAAAATTTACAATCTGTCACCTGACGGATTGGGCTTTGGTGAGCAAATCAAGGCAAAGGCAGATTCTGCTTGACTGGTGTATTCAGCATTACAATCCTCTGTGCTATAAATGTAATTGTTTTTATTGCAATAAGTTGTCATTTATATAGTCATTTTAAATATTATGAAATAAATTAGTAATTTACAAATGGAACCTTTAATTTTTGTATGGTACAGTATATTTAATTTTGGTAGTTTGGTATATTTATCTTTGGCCCATGGCTCTCAATGATATTTGGGTTTTGGTTCTTCATATGAAAACGTTTGGGTACCCCTGATTTAAACACTTCAATAAGAATTACTAAATAACTTTTGTGTGTCGATTAAAAAAAAGTTACACACCATGAAGGACCAAAGAGTAATTAATGATGATAAAAAACATCATCAATGTAGACTTGTGGCCTTCCTTTTGACAAATTTTTTACAAAGCCAAATGTAAATGTACGTGGACGAAATGATGCAGATGCTGTCAGGTTTTATTTATGTTCTACTGAAGTTTTTTTTATTGTCTTTGTTTATATGTACACATTGTTTGTTTGTTTGTATGTTGTGTTGTTAGGTATGTTGATTAGTAAATGTATGTTTTACTATTTAAATAAATACAAAAGGGAAAAACATCATCAATGTAATGTATAATATTAAAAAGTATTTTAGACGTTTTTTAGATTTGAACAAAACAGATTTATTAAACATAAATGTTTATAAAAATTATATTTTAGTCACAGAACATCTTCAGAAATGTAAGGATAATACAATTAAATTCATGAAAAATGTTGCAAACAAAATTACAAACTACAACATTCCAACAAAATGTTATAGATTTTTTGTTTCTCTTGATTTTTGCTGTTTTTGAAATTTTTATTTAATATTTTTTCCTAACATATAAATTTAGGCTAAAAAATTTTAAAGCTTTATTGTAAGTTATTTTGTTAGATTAGCTCAGCCCAGATTTGGCATTACTGATTAAACTAATACATATGCACAAATATAATATTGTAAAGCATCCTATAGAAAATATTCATTTAAATGAGAGATTTGTGTGGGTGTACTCATATATGCTGAGCACTGTATATAATACCGTTGTCTTTCAAAAATATAACATTATTTTCCATATACTAAAAATAAAGCAGCTTTTTCTTTAATAAAAAAGTAGAAAATAAAAAAAATAATGTTACACATTTAAATAAAAAAAATAATAACAATTTTGAAGTCTTGCAAACCAAAATGAATGTATGGCTTAGAAAATTGTCCAAATGTGTTTCAGTTTTTGTCTTGATTGTCCTGGAAGAAACTAGCTTTTAAACAAGATATGAGGGTGAAATAAATGTTATAAGTTTAATGAAACACCTTTACGCTAAAAATAAACTTCCAATAATTCCAATATTGTTTAATTGTTTATTAGTAAATGTCATTTGCAACTTAAAAATAACCCACAACTGACAGCATTTGTGCGAGTTTGTATTTGTGCTCAATCATTTTCCATATTTCCTATTCTAGAAGATACACACAATCATTTTTATAGATATAACCAGTGCAGTTGTTCACTTTGTATAGAGATTTCCAGTAGTGGAGCAAGTGTATTTATATTCTGTTAATTTATAACTATTCCAGCATATGTTTTACACAGCGGATGCCCTTCCAGCCGCAACCCAGTACTGGGAAACATCCATACACACTCATTCACAAACACTATGGACAATTTAGTTTATTTTATTCATTGATTGCGCATGTCTTAGGACTGTTGGGGAAACCGAAGCACCCGGAGAAAACCCATGTGAACACAGGGAGAACATGCAAACTGCACATTGAAATGCCAACTGACCCAGCCAGAACTCAAACCAGCAACTTTCTTGTTTTGAGGCGACAGTGCTAACCACTGAGCCACTGTGCCACCTTACTCCAGTTTAATTTAAATTAATTCAAACATATGGGCTTAAGACACCGTTTTGCCAAAATACATTTCCGATAATTCAGATAATTAATTGTTTATTAGTAAATCTCATTTACATTGCATCTGAAAAAAACAACAACAACCCATGTCTGAGCTGTTGTGTGAGTTTGTATTTGTGCTCAAGCAAATGTCATGCATATATAAAATTTTATTCATATTTCATATTCTAGAACACACACACACACACACACACACACACACACACACACACACACACACACACACACACACACACACACACACACACACACACACACACACACACACACACACACACACACACACAGTAGTGGAACAAGTGTATTTATATTATGTTAATTTCGGGTTGGCGTAATTGCGAAGAAATCTCCATCTGCAGGGCTTTGCCTCTTGTGCGTCGACCTGAACTTTGTTTTAAAGGGCAGAAAGTAGTTAAAACTCCCTTTGAAGTGACAAGATTGTAAAAAAAATAGATTTTATGATCTATTTTATGCAGTGTTAAATTGTTTTTTGTTTTTTTTAACTGGAGCACCGACTATTCCAGACAAACCAATGATGCTCATGAACGTCTTTCGCAAAGTCCTCAATTTCCTTCATATCGTTTTACCCATCAGCAAATCTAAAAATAAAGTAACAGTATATTCCCGTTCTGATTGCAATGTGCGAACGAATTATATTGAAAGAGAAAGCTGCTTAAAACACTCCTGTCATCTAGCGCTCGGTTTGGAGTGTTAAATGCCAGCACAGGCGTCCCTGTTCTCTTTCTCAGACTATGGCATTAGTTGCTTTACCACAAGCCTTATTTTCTGCTTGCCAAGAAAGTGAGGAGATGAAACAGATGAGACTGAACGTGAATCATGCGTGCCGTTAAATGCCCACACAAGACTTACAATCTGCCCTCTGCTAGCCGAAATAATTGCTTCTGTGCGTGTCAGCCAAATCCTAAAAAACCCTCGCGCACAAAAAACACGGCTCCACGAGTCCAAAGCTTTCTTAACAACACACGCACTACTGCAGCAACAATCAAACACACTAACTATATTAACTTCATGACAAAAGAAGTGATACTCTTGAAAATAATACTGATTTGATCAAAGGGCATGGTGGGATAGTTTATTTCAATATGCAATAAGAATAAAATGTCAGGCTTCTATATACGAACAACAGCCTATATATATATATATATATATATATATATATATATATATATATATATATATATATATATATATATATATATATATATATATATATATATATTCACAGTTGAAGTATTACCGCCCTTTTTCCCTAATTTCTGATTTTTTAAGACATTTATAACCATAATAGTTTTGTTAACTCATTTCTAATAACTGATTTATTTTATAATTGCCATGATGACAGTAAATAATATTTGACTAGATTTTTTCAAGACACTTTTATACAGCTTAAAGTGACATTTAAGATTGAAAATAATTCATATATCTGTTGCTCTCGCGTTCCTGTTTGTTTGTTTGTTTGTTTGTTTGAATGCCTTTTATTTTGCTATTCTAAAAAATGTTGATTACAAAAAAATGAATAAATACTACACAGAAATGTACATAGAAACAACGCAGTTGAAATCGGAATTATTAAACCCCCTTTGATTTTTTTCTTTTTTAAATATTTCCCAAATTATGTTTAACAGAGCAAGGAAATGTTCACAGTATGACTGATAATATTTTTTTCTTCTGGAGAAAGTCTTATTTGTTTTATTACGGCTAGAATAAAAACTTTTTTTTACTTTTTGTTTTTAATTTTTTAGAAAACATTTTAAATTAGTATCCCCTTTAAGCTATTTTATTTTTGATAGTCTACAGAACAAACTATTATGTTTAGAAATGTGTTGAAAAAAATCTTCTCTCCGTTAAACAGAAATTGGGAGAAAAAATAAACAGGTGGGCTAATAATTCTGACTTCAGCTGTATATAATGTTATATAATATATAAATAATTCAGTATTATGGTGGTTTAAATTAGGGTTTGTCAATGTATCAATATTAAATTAATAACATCAATTAACAACATTTTATATACTAGAATACCAAATAAATTAGCAATTTTGCAAGAATAAAAAAAACAATTGCAAGACACAATCAGAATATTACTTGCATTAACTTACTTAAAAAAAAAAAAAACTTTAATTTTTTAATTTAAGAACAAGTTAAAAAAGTTACAAACAAATAAAAAAGAGCTTCATTCCTACCAGAGCTGTCGCTTCTCCTTTTACTATTCCTTTTCTCAGCCTCAGCCGGGGACATCGTATGCCGTCCGAAATCTCCTCCAGGGACACAAGAGGCACCTGAGGGCACTCCTGCACCGAGACTCGGGGTGCTCGCGCAGAGACTGGGGCCTCCGGGACCCACATCTGAAGAGCCCGAATCAGGGCCTGAGATGCCCAATCCCAGACGAACGCCTGCAGCAGATGGTGAAGCGCTGGATGACTGTGGTAAATGCCATCCGCCCTGCTGCGCCAAATGATGATGATGATGATGGTGATGATGCTGCTGCTGGGACACAGACAGCCCTCGCTGGTGCCCTCCAAAAAGACCACCATCCTCTCCGGGATACCCGCTTACGATGCAAGTGGATGGAGGAGAGGAGCTGGAGAGATCCGGGTATGAGGAGAGGTGCTCGGGACGTCCATGAAGAGCGAATGCGGGGTGCACGGCCTGTGGAGGAGCATGAGGGCTGCGCAAACAGCCGAAAAGAGTGTGATCCATCACACACACCTAATAAAAAAAAGACTAAAAAGTTAAGAAACACCAAAAAATCCTTTGCTTCTCCTTGGAAAAATACACAAGAAGTGTGTCCGTATGCATGTGTTTGTGTGGTAATCCCATGCAGGAACTGTTAAATCTGATTTAAAATGGACTGGTGATGATGATAATGATGAGAGATGAAGCTCGGCTGACAGTCGGGCAAATACTGCGGGCCGGCTGAGAGGGAAAGGTGCTTCCTAACAGTGGTTTTTTGGGTTGGGACTGAAGGAGGGGTGGGAGATGTTATAAATAGGGTTGTAATCTGAGAGGGAGGCTGGGTCACTGAAACACCCATCGCCACACACACACACACCCACTGTCCACTCACTGCAGCCTGTCCAGCTCTCAGATCTGGGAGTTTGCTGGTGATTTGTGTTTTTAATGATGAGTTTGTGGAGGTCGGAGCAGGTCAGAGGGGTTACGAGTGTTAACAGGATGTTGATCTTTCTGCTTCTCTTCTTTTAAGGGGATGATTTAGAGTACGGTGGTTCAGTGCTGAATCGCTGTTAAGAAGAAGATCTTGTCCTGTTGCAGGGGTGGCTACTGTACGGGAACAGTTTGTGTTGGTACAGTTTGGTTTTTGTTACAGTTCTTCTTCAAAAATAAATAAAATAAATAAAGCCACAACGCCAACATACAAAAGCAGGACATTTCCAGTAATATATATATATATATATATATATATATATATATATATATATATATATATATATATATATATATATATATATATATATATATATAATTTTATATATATATATATATATAATTTTAATATCTAATTAAAAATTGTATTATTAGAATATAATATTTTTCAATAAATATTTAGAAAGATATATTTAGCATTTTTGTAATTTTATATCTTTGTTTATAATTTATTTTATATTTATTATATATATTGTGGTCAGAATTATTAGCCCCCCTTTGATTTTTTTTTCTCTTTTTTAAATATTTCCCAAATTATGTTTTATAGAGCCAGGACATTTTCACAGTATGTCTGATAATATTTTCTCTTCTGGAGAAAGTCTTAATTGTTTTATCTGGCGAGAATAAAAGCAGTTCTTAATTTTTTAAACACCATTTTAAGGTCAAAATTATTAGCCCCTTTAGGCTATTTTTTTTTTTTTTGATAGTCTACAGAACAAACAATGGTTATACAATAACTTGCCTAATTACCCTAACCTGCCTAGTTAACCTAATTAACCTAGTTACGCCTTAATTATCATTTTTGGCTGTTTAGAAGTGTCTAGAAAAATATCTAGTCAAATATTATTTACTGTCATCATGGCAAAGATAAAATAAATCGATTATTAGAAATATGTTATTAAAAATATTATGTTTAGAAATGTGTTGAAGAAATCTTCTCTCTGTTAAACAGGGGGACTGATAATTCAGGGGGGCTAATAATTCTGACTGTATATACGTGTACATACACACAACTCACACAAATGATTTCTAAATGGATGAATTACTGGCACTGTATATATAAATAAATATGATGAACTGAAGAATGAAGATTTAAAATTAAAATACAGAAATTGTAATTATTTCTAAATGTTTGAAGTAGAAGCTGTACAGTACTGTTTGTTAAGTGTGAAGTTAGTATAAAGTCTGTTTCTGCATTTAAAAATTGTGTCAAACATGAAGAATAATGTAAACTATTATAATTAACATTACTGTATGTATAATCATATAATATTCGTTCATTCATTTTCCTTCCGTTTAGTCCCTTTATTCATCAGGAGTCGCCACAGCAAAAGGAACTTATCCAGCATATGTTTTAAACAGCTAATGCCTCTCAAGCTGCAACTCAGTACTAGGAAACGTCCACACACACTCATACACTACGGCCAGTTTAGCTTATTCAATTCACCTATAGCACATGTCTTTGGACTGTGGGGGAAACCAGAGAACCCGGAGGGTTATATTACATTATATTATATTATATTATATTATATTATATCATATTATATTATATTATATTATATTATATTATATTATATTATATTATATTATATTATATTATATCGTATTATATCATATCATATCATATTATATTATATTATATTATATTATATTATATTATATTATATTATATTATATTATATTATATTATATTATATTGTATTGTATTGTATTGTATTGTATTGAATTGTATTATATTACTCTTAATTTGTTTATTATTAAAAATGCTAAAAACTTTGGTGCCTAATATTTTAGTGAAAACGACACATTTTTTTGATAAACCAAAAGTTAAAAAATAACATTAATTTAAAGCTAAAATCTTTTTCAACATAACAAACGTCTTTGGAGTTACTTAAATTTTATAGCCACTAAGAATTATAAACTAATTCCTGCACAATAAAAGTAATTATTTTATATTTTATTATATTTTTATATTTTATTTTATTTAAAATACATTTCATTTTTACCACACCAAATGTTATTATATTTTAAAAGATTAAAAACTTCTTTAAAAGCAGGTACAGCTTGACAATTTTGAACAAGAGTGCCACAGTATGAAGACATACAGTAAATGGACAATTTATTATTAATTTAATCCCATTTTGACAGCGTCTTTCAAAACACCATCAACTGATTATTAAATATGGCTAACAAGACTTTTAGTACATAACTACATTTTAATGAATGTCTTCTGTAAATCCTGGTAAAAACTAATAGTTATTATTTCCAGCTTATTTAAACAGAACACACTCTAATGCACTGAAAAAATAAAGCTAAATTACACTTATAGTCTAAATCCTTGAAAACCCCTTTATCGTCTTACATACACACTTACAGTCTACAATACCAGTTATCTGGTATATTGTATAATCATTTTAATACAATGATTTCTGACGGATTATGTGATACTAAAGACCTAGATAAGAGAGTTAAGGTAATTAATAACCTTAAATTTTCCTAAATTTTATTGTAATGCAATAATGTGCACCTTTTGCAAAGCTGCTTTGAAACAATAATTTTGTAAAAAGCACTACACAAATAAACTTGAATTGAATTAAGACTGTGGTAGTAATGATGTTGAAAATTCAGCACTAAATCACAGGAAAAATAAATAAATTTTAAACTATATTTATTAAGAAAAGCTTGATTAAATTGTAAAAAAAAATCTGCATTTAACTGTATTTTAACTAAATTTGGAAATGCGTGCTGATCCCAATCTTTTGACCACAGATATTCAGTATATATATCATACATAAATTCTATGTAATAAAATCTGTAAATATCTCACTTAAATTCTATGCAAAAAAATTTTCAGTAAATATCCCCATAAATTCTATGTAAACACAAAAATATTCAGTAAGTATCCCACTTAAACTATATATAAAATACTAAGGTAATATCCCCGCAAATTCTATGTAAAAAAAAAAAAATATATATATATATATATATATATATATATATACAGTAAATATCCCCCTGTAAATTCCTCATAAACCGCTATCCACTAAAAAGGAATAAAGGATATTTCATGGAATATCCATCAGCTGCAATTTGCGTTGGTGACCGTGTATCATGGTTTTAATCAGAAAAAGCAGTGCTCATCGCCGGCCTGCAGAAATAACAGCACCACCATTCAACACGTCCCAAAGGCTTCAGATACAGACGCACAACAAGACCTTTCTCAGCTCACGGGGAAGAGACGCAGAGGAAATCAGATGCCTTGTTGAGGGAAATCACTTTAGCAGATGGAGAAAAAAAAAAAGATTCGAGGCCTTATTTAGTGAGAAGGGAAGACGAGCGACGATCAGATTCAACTCTACAATCGCAGAGACTCGGTGAGTAGCACTTCCTCTCTGTTTGTTGTTAATTAACACGCCGTTAATTGTAGCATTTAAATAATTAATAAATTGTTTGTCCATTTGTACCATTTAAAGTCAATTTGCTAGTTTTTTCCCACTTGAGTAGTGAAACTGATCTGTGAACTGAAAAAAGCATTGAAAAAATATTTTGAACTTAAATACAAGCATAGGAATAAACAACATGTGTTATATGACTGTCGATTTGTACAGATTGACTTTATTAAATATCTTAAATTTCCCAAATAACTTAATTTAAACGTTTATCCGGTTTGTTTGCAGTGAAATCAACTGTTTATTTCCTCCCTTGGCTTGTGAAACTCAGATTAAAGCTGGTCTGTGCCATTTTTAATTCTTAGTTTGTAAAATTCAGCTTTAAAAAGGAGATAAAACTAAAAAAAATTTTTTTTTACTTAAATTGAAATGACTATTAGGTTTGTTTTTCACCAAAATCGCTGTAATTTTTTTTGGATGGGGGGGGGGGGATTCATCTTTAACCTAAATAAAAGCATTGACACTAAATGTAAACTTAAATACACGCATATGAATAAATGTGTTATTTAACTGTCGATTTTGTACAAATTGACTTTTTGAAAAACCTTCATTTAAATGTCTATTTGTTTTTAGTGAAATTAACTTTCTCCCTTGGGTTGTGAAATATTGTGCCACTTTTAATTCTTGGTTTGTAAAATTCAGCTTCTAAAGGGTGATAAACTTCATTTAATTTTTTTTTTACTCAACTTAAAATGATTATCTGTTTTTTTCAAAATCTGTATTTTTTGTTTTGTTTTAATCTTTGAATCATCTTTAACCTATAAAAGCATTGACACTAAATGTAAACTAAAATACAAGGATACAAATGAACAATATGTGTTATTTCACTGTCGATTTGTACAGATTGACTTCATTGCATATTTAAACTTTCTGAAATAACTTTATTTGGTTTGGTGTAAGTGAAACTAACTATTTTATTCCCTCCCTTGGCTCATGAAACTCAGATTAAAGCTGGTCTGTGCCACTTTTAATGCTTGGTTTGTAAAATTCAGCTTTAAAAGGGTTTGAACTAATTGAAAAACTTGAATTATTATATGGTTTGTTTTTAGTAAAAACTAATAATAATAATAAAAGACTTTTTAATGTCCCAATCGTTAATTAACGTTGAAAGAGCAAACGTTAAAGATTTAAATTTAAATGTTTTAATTAAACAATATATATTGTATTATACATCTATATGTAATTCGAGTTAACCTTTTTTTATCATTGATTTCGAAAATTAACTTTGAAAACCTTTGAACATTTGAACTTAAAGTGTTAAGCTGTTGACTTGAACTAAATAAATAAATAAATACGTACATTTCATCTTCTGTAATTCAGCTGTAGAAATGATTTGGAAAAGCCTCCATCTGATATACACTATAAAGCGTGGCTCATATTATGCAAAAGACAGAAGCTCACTGTGAGCTTTATGAGCCTTTTTATAAGAATAATTTCCCCACAGGGCACAGAAGATTTACAAACAGCTGAAAAGCAAGAATGAGTTTGTATACAGTCAACGCTAATGTCAGCAGCTGTTGAGCAAACACACGCTCAAAAGTAGATTTTGAAAGCATGTCAAAATCATATGGACATATAGACATTCTTTTAAGATTTATCTGATTTCTTAGAGATGACAGTAGATTCACACAATTAATTACGATGACTTTAATTTAAATTGATTTAAGAATGAGCAGAATGCAACTATTATGGTATTTTTGTAGCTTTAGCTTTTGTTGAAAAATCAAACATATATTTTTGAATATAATTTAAATCTAAACT